AAATGCATAAGAGCCATTATGGGCGTTGATAATCGGGCATCCTGCAGAAGGCTGTTTGGTGAGTTAGAAATTTTAACTGTTACTTCTTTGTATATACTGGAGATTTTATGTTTTATCATAAAAAATAGAATCTATACAACTCTGAACTCTGATGTGCATAATTACAACACAAAGCATAAACATAATCTGTATGCCCAACATTGTAATACAAATCGTTGTAAGAGAAGTGTGATAAACATGGGCATAAAACTATACAATAATCTTCCTATGGAGTTAAAGAATGTATCTGATTTTAAAGTGTTTAGGAGGAAATTGAAGTGTTATTTGTTGCATAATGCCTTCTACTCTCTTCAGGAGTTTTTTTATATGTAAGATGTTGAATTAAATGACTGTAATTGCCTGTTAATGCATGTGCTGGTGGTTTTTTATATAATATATTTAAGTATTTATGTATTCTTTGATTATGTTAGGTGTGATTGTTATTAAATCTATGTATTCCCTTTGACTTTATTCGATTGTATATTTTACAGTTATGGATGTAAATAAAATTATGAATTATGAATTGGTCAGCAGACATTCCAGAGCCTTATAACGCAGCTGCAAGCAGCTACGTGCTAGCTAGGTGGAGCCAGAGAGATGTATAGTGTGTTGCAACTTATCGTGTTTTAAAAACCTGTTAACACGCAAACGGTCCGCCATGTTTAAAAGCGAAAAGCAAAGTGCTAACATTGCTCAGCTTCCTAAACTTGGCACCAACAGGAAAACTCATGAAGCTTTGCAAATATATAACATCCACAGTTTACAAGGGAGAGTTGTTTTGTATATTTGTCAGACTTTTACATTCTTATGTACACCATATAAAGTGCAGAGTAATTCATTCCTTCATTTCTGGCCCTTTTATTGTTTGTATAGAGAATGTGATATTAGTTGGTGAGCAGGTTTCTGACTAGGAAATCAGGGGTTCTGTCTCTATTCAGTAAATGCTGGCTGTGGTATTACAGTAGCTGCTGAAAGGTCAGGCATCCAGCATCCATCATAGGGATTTATCAGATTTTGAGACACATCTAATTCACTTAGTTGGTTTAAAATTAATAGTCAGCAGGTACTTTTTTGTCTTGTGTGAAATATTTGAAAATAGTTTCCGAAAGGAAAGCATTCCATTGTAATGTGACACCATAATTTTTCAGAGTTGAACCACTGTGTCTTCTAGTGTTCATGTTTGACTGTAAGTGGGTAATTATTTGCCTTCTGTGAGAAATCAGAAAAATTGCCTCAGCCCAATATTTTATTGTCTAATATGAATGTGGAAAAAACAAAAGTAACGAAAATTTCGAGACAACCAACCCCAGTCACAATAAAGATAGACTAAAAACAACTGGAGAATGTGAAATGTTTTAAATATTTTGGTAGCTTGTTAACAGATGATGGAAGGTGTATGTGTGAAATTAAATGTAGGATTGCCATGGAAAAAGCTGCATTTAGCAAGAAGAATCTTTTTACCAGCAAATTGGAATTAAATTTGAGAAAGAAACTAGTGAAATGCTACATTTGGAGCATTGCTTTGTATGGGGCTGAAACTTGGACACTTAGGGCAGTAGATCAGAAACACCTGGAAAGCTTCGAAATGTGTTGGAGAAGGATGGAGAAGATCAGTTGGACAGATTATGTGAGAAATGAAGAAGTGTTATTTAGAGTGAGTGAGCAGAGGAATATCCTACACGAAATAAGAAAATGGAAGGCTAATTGGATTGGTCATATCTTACGCGGTAACTGCCTTCTAAATGAAGTTACTGAAGGAAAGATAGAGGGGCGGATAGAAGTGACCAGAAGACTTAAGAAGATGCTGGATGACCTTGGGGACGGAAGAGGATATTTTCATTTGAAGGAGAAAGCTCTAGAGCGCATCAAGCGGCGGAACTGTTTTGGAAGAGACTGTGGACCTGTTGTCTTGACAGATTACTGGTGAATGAATGAATGCATTCAGACAGAATAATAATGCACTGGACTGAACACGTTTATCTAGAGGTAATGCTCTAGACTTGTGTTTGGGAAGTGCTTGGTTTGAATCTCAGCTGGGTCACTGGCTGTCTAGACTGAGGTGTTTTCATGGTCTTCCTCACTCTGTATGGACAAATACAGGCCATGAGTCTGTGTCCATTTCCTTTCCAGTTCATTCATTTAATAATCCGATGCCATGTAATATTGAAAAGATGAAGACGACACAAGGATTAAAGAATTCTTTTAACTTCCTTCCCTGTATATTTACTGTTAGGATACCATTACTCTGTAAAAATGAACCTATTTCTGTTTACTTAAAACTTTTTTTTCATGTAGGATGTGAGGTTCTCACAGCTATCATTATGAAGAGTTCTGTCTTCTGGGATATGATAATCACTCTAGTTGCTGTATAGTGGGTCTGATTGTACCTGCAGTGCTCCTGACATTATTCAACAGTACAGATGGCTCTCAAACATTCAGTGCCATCTACAGAGAAACTCAGAGGAAAATGGTTCTGCATATAATAAATTGAAATTATATTGCCAGTATGGAGATCAGAGGCAGACTAATTGGCAAACATGGTATGCATGTTTCCCGCAGTTTACAAATGGCAAAGTTACCTGCTGAAATACAGATTCTTGTACAAGCATTGGCATGTTTGGATATTGCATTGTGTTCTTACAATCACAAGTAATTTCTTTCACTTCCCTGTTCCTTGCCTGTCATGTCAACTTTCTATGGTGTATATCACAGCATATTTATCTGACTTGGGCCATGTTACCAATACTGTGAAGTACAGAAGAAGAAGAATATCCACTACGTGTATCAACTCATGGATTGATACCTACTCTGATCAAATCATTTCTTGAGACACTGATAATTCAGAAATTATCTGCCTCTTATGAAATCTGAAGGTTCATTACCATGTTTGCAAAGCCTGCCACTGAACCATATATTGAACCTGATGTATATCCTTTTATTATGCTTTCAGATCCATCTTTCATGGACTTAAGGGTCAATGTCAGCAGTGGCAGAAGATAACCTAATCAGAACTGGTTCTTCATTAGGTCCTTGGTGTGACATTTTACATCCAGAAGGAATAAGACCTTTTCAGAAACAGTTTCCTCCTGCTATCAAACTTTGGCTCAGCAAGAATCAGCATACCTTTTTAACAAAGTAAAAACACTTCATGTGGTAGTTATGTTTGTCCCTCTTTTCACCTGTTTGTATGTGACCTAGTATTAATACCAGACACTGGACAGGTGTTTTTAAAATTGTATATTGGAGACTTAAAAAAACTATCAGGCAATATTGACCTGTAACATGTCTGATTTATGTGAGGCCATAAATGAAATGTCCCATGTTGAAAGTCAGTATATCCACATATCCCATAACACGTTTCACTTATATTGAAAATCCAATATAAACGACTTTCAAACTGTGTTCGGGTCTTTAGCTTTGTCATGAATACAGTTTTTATATGTTACTGTTTCATTCCAAAATACTGCACTTGAAGTTATATTTTTGAAGGCTGTATTAGCTAAAATATTTCCACATATGATTGTCTTCCATTCTTATGAAGAGACATGAACATATATTTTTAAGGTCTTTCATTCTGGTCCGTCACACTAACCAATTAACAATCAAGTTCCTTCCGTCAAATGTGACACTTTTTTAAGTTTTCCACCTCGTCAGCACCTGCCTTACAAGCATCACAACACACAGACAAGCAACATCAACTACCGACAGACAACACACGTCAACAACATCCCGAAGCAAAAAGATTGGGCCAAGCGGGAAAGAATTCTAGGGATTTTAAGAATTCTTACTTCAAATAACGAAACATAATTTTACAGAATTAACGACGAATCAAATAAGGAAGCTACTGTGGTGTGTGAAAAACTTTTAGTGAACCGACATTCTGGGTAATTTTAACTATTTGTAATTATTTTAATTAACTGGAACGTGGCTATCTTGGACAAAGTGAAGTTTTGTGTGTTGGTGATTTCTTTTTCTACTATAAATGCCTCTGATGATGGCTCCGTGGTGAGCCGAAACATGTAAGGCAGGTGCTGACGAGGTGGAAAACTTAAAAAAGTGTCACATTTGACGGAAGGAACTTGATTGTTAAATGAACATATATACCTGTTTTTTCTTTTGTTTTCTGCTAGACCAGCCACTAGAGCTTAGTGATTTTCTCATTGTAGCATGTAGAGCCATTACTATGTGATGACCGCAAGGTAGGCAAATATATGAGACCCATTTCTAGTCAATGGCTCAGTAATAACGTTCCCACAGCAACAAATGAACGCGCAACAATAGAGGTACCGTTGGAAAGGGGTTTTCTACTCAGTCCATGCCGAGGAGTTATAAGGAAGACAATTGGGGCCACCAAGTTCAGTTCGAGAGTCTGTGGAGAGAGGACCTGTTAGTTAGACCTGTAAATGGTCAATAAATCGAGTCACCAATCTGAAACCCATGTATAGTCACTCAAACATGTGACAGTATGACGTTCAGTTTTTGTCTAATATATTGATGTTATCAGCATATACCAGAAGCTGATGTGACACACTTAATTTCCGCCCATGGTTTCAATGGACCTTCTTTATGGCATATATTACAGCAAAGCTGAAAAACAATTGCAGTAAATCATCTTATATCAGATCCTTCTGAATAAAAAGTACTTCAGGCAAACATTTACTTGAAGAGTAATGTTTCCTGTAATCTGCCACACTCCCATGCACTTTTATTGGTTTATTATATACTGTTTGAATTAATGGAATAAAACTGGAAAAGAAACTACAATTTTATGTTGTTCTTGGATCTTATAAATTTGATGTCTGTTACGGAGCTTTTTAAAAAATTGATGCCCCCATGGGGTTGCCTAAGCCAACCAAATTACTACTCAGGAGACATCATGGCTTGTGTGCTTGCATCTCTGGCTTAGAGGGAACGTTGTTGAACAACACTCACTCTCTTCTCGAATATGATGTCACATAGTTCTGTATAAGTTCAACATTTTGGAGAGGGAGGGGTTGAACACTACACTACTATACATACTTCTTTATTAATATGGTGGTGGACCACCTTTTGCCTTCAATACAGCTTCAGTCCTTCTTGGAATGGACTTGTATAAGTTTTGAAGAGTGTCTAGTGGAATTGTATACCATTCTTCTGTAAGAACATCTTCAAGTTGCTTTAGAGATGTTGGAGGTGGGAATCTGTTCCTCACTCTAGTCTCCACAACTGACCACAGTGGTTCATTGTTCAAATGTGGTGATTGTGCTGGCCAGGGAAAGATAGTGAAGTTCACCTTCATGCTTTTGAAATTATGACTGAACAGCTCCAGCTGTGTGTCATTTCATTTACGTCATTTCAAAAATTCAAAATGGTCACTGCAAAATAACGTCTAGAAAATGGGATGCATGCATCTGATTACCCAACCTGTCTATGTACTCCCTTGCTGTAATTCGTCCATGAAGGCTAATACTGGGACCAACAGAATACTGTACCAAGATATTGCTGCCCAAACCATCACAGAACCTCCCCCGTGTTTCACTGGTGGAATGAGGTGTTCTGGATTGTGGGCTTCCTTGGGTGTTCTCCAAATGTGAACTCTTCCTTATGTAGGGAACAGTGTGAAGGACGACTCATCTGAGCATTCTTGCTGTTATCTACTTTCTTCATGCTAAAAACGAGTTCTGTTGAAATCCGCTGTGAATTATATGCAGTTTACAGACAAAATATAATGACTAAAGGAACTGTAAGACAGGGGTATAGAATCTTCAAAGATGGGCAGGTGAATAAATGTTCACAGTGAAAAGTAAAGTGGTTGGCCATCTATATGGAGTGATGATCTTTCTTAAAGTGTTGCCCAAAAAATTTGTGAAAAATGGCACTTCACAATTTCAGAACATTCGCGTAGATTTACACAAATTTGATGCATTGTTCTCTATGAGATTATCGCAGTTAGACTAGGCTATCACAAGTTTTTGTGCAAGATGAGTTCCAAAAATGCTCACAGGTGTGCGCAAATTGCAAGAAATGGCTTCAGCTTTTATAGGCTTTTTTAGAGTGATACCACAAAGATGACGAATTTCTCAGTCATATTGTATGAGCAACAGGTGAAGAAACCTGGGTTTCATTTATGAATGTTGAACCCAAAGAGCAGTCAAAGTAGTGGATGCACACACATTCACAAAACTAGCCAGAAAAGAAACAAATGTTGTCTGCCTGCCAGAAAGCTGATGGCAGCTGTTTTATAGAACAGAAAAGGATTGCTGATGATACAGCTAATTATCATTACAAGTACCAGCTATTTATATACTGTTTGTTATTGAACAAATTTTACTTTACTATCAAATCACCTATTCTGGATTGCTGTCAATATTAAACATGTCGCCCCCAGCTTCAGAGTCAAAGAATTAGCCATGCAAGGTACCACTGTAAAGCAGGAAGCAAACTGGTTTTTTTTTAAGACTTCTGTCTTCTGGGATGTAATGCTGTGTAGTCCCTTGAGAGCCAACAAACATTTTGGTAAAACATGTCGCCTCCATCTTCGGCACTGAACCAAAGTGAAGCAGGTAGCAAGCAACAGGTTTCTTTGAAACGTCGTCTGACTTTTAATACACTGTCTATTATATCCCAGAAGATAAAAGTCTTCATAGCCAACCCTGTGAGAAACTCAAATCGTTTAAAGTTGGTTTCTCTCTTGGCTTATTCTTCAATACATTGAAGATGGTGCTAGTATATTCCTCTGAAATGTAGGTTAACTTTCAATGGTCTACACGGCATTATATCCAAAAAAAACGTTACCTTTGATTAATCATTTAATTTCAGCCATTAAGCCGCTTCGTCGATTGGCGTCTGTTTCTATGGTAACCCTCAGGCTGCCATCTGTTAGGTACATTTTAAATTATATATATGACGTATGCATCCAGGACTCCAAATGTTAAAAATGGCCGCCGTCGTGAATGGACGGAGCGTGATGGATCCACAAATAGCAGTGCAGAGTGCAGTGGTGGATCGGTTGAAGTTATTACATCCAATGGTTAACGAAGAAGAAACACCTTTACCAAGATCCTGGAGTCCCAAGGATAAATATAACTACATAGGACTGTCGCAGAATAATCTGAGGGTTCACTATAAAGGTAAGTAGGAGCCAGTCTTGGCTATGGATTTAAGAGGATGTCGTAGTTGGCACATTGAAGACTTGTGCAGAGTGTTCAATTTTGAAATATGAATTTCGCGTCGACTCTTGGAATCAGTGTTACATCTAACAATGTGAGATTTGGAATGAAATGTAATACTACAATGTCATCGACCACAGCAATGGCAACTGCAAGGTCTCCAAACAAAGAAATCAGCTGATCGGTTTGTGTCATGACGTAAGTTGAAGACCTCCGCATTGGACTCGGAATTTTAAATGCGCAGTGAAATGTCTGTTGTTTATATTTATTGTACGTACCTATTAAGTACAGTTATACTGGGTCGTAACAATGATTGTGGCTCTTATATTCAGATTATTGATGGTTACCCATGTTTCACGTGTTCGTTCGCTATACCGAGAACATAAGTTTGACATGGGAGCACATATCTGGTAGATTTTCGTATGTTTTACATATATTATATTAACGCCAAATTTTTATTTTTGTTTGTATTTGTTAGCTAACGCAAAAATTAATAAACTACGTTAGAGTTAATTGTCCGATACGATATTTTGAGTTGTTCGCGACGGTTAATATTACGATTATCGCCCTCCAGGATGTGACGTGCAGTTTGGTAGGCGCATTCCGCCGTTTAGGAGGAACCTGCTGGCTTTATCTTTATGAAACGTCTACATCGTTGATAAACGTGCTGTCTAACAGCGCACGTAGTACAGACAAGCAGCGGCACCCACACAAGAAGACTACATTAAATAACACCTGTACAGTGTGAAAACAAGAACTAGCCGCTCCAGCAGTTAGACATAGGGCGAGTAACCCTAAGAATTTTAAATTTTAAATTTAAAATTTAGTGAAAAAAATTTTAAAAGGTTTTAAAACATCATAACTAAAGATTTTTAGAGTGCTACTACAAGAATAACAAATTTGACGTGTGCAACATAATCTACATACCAGACATATATCAACGATGTAGACGTTGATAATACGAAGAATGTGACATTGTGTTTTTAAATGTTAAATTTTAGACTGGGTTCAGTGTGGCAACAACGTTAAGAATATACACCTGATGATGGCCGATAGAGGCCGAAACATGTAGTGTAGAAAGAACAAGATCAAGGACATATAATATATATTGTTTGCACTTGGGACGGAGTTTGTATCATTTATCGTTGGTTTTTATACTTGATGGTGGTCTTAGGTTGAACTTGAGGGCAGAAGTAAAATGCTTTAAAATGAGAGAGTTACTTGTATAAATTTTTAGTTTTGTTCAGCCTGTGGGACCTCACAACAACTGTCCTGGTTCCATACATGTATATCAGTTCACAACATGTTACAACTTAGATTGGCCATCATCAGGTGATTCTCGAGGAAATACAGAAATGGTGATTGACTACATATAAACCACAGTGCTAATATAAGACATTTTCTTTGCTAATTATAATTGGTCAGTTCTACCACAATACAAAATATTAATAGATTTTAAAGTTAATGTTTAAAAAAAGTTATATTCAAACAATACAAAGAGAAGATCCCTATGAGGTGTGGTTTGTAGTTTCAAATGTTTTTGAGCTGGTATAGTGGTGGTTGGATCTTCAGGTTATTGTACAGCATTTATGTCTATTTCTTTTGTGGATGATTGCTTCAGATAGTCATTCTGTCTACTGTTGTTTGGGGTGGGCTTGAATCAGTAAAGAATGTTATTGTAGTGAGTCGTTGTTACCTGAAAAATAAAAACATTTATTTGTTTGATGGCAACCATTCATTTTATTTGTAAGCACAGGAAACAGGATGCAGCACTTCAAGATCATGAGCGAAGTTATGAAATCTAATTTAGTCCTTACTCATGATAGGTAAAGTTACCCTATGCATTATTGTTTGGAGGCATTTTGAACTGCTGGAGTACATCTCTTACTCTTCTTGAAGTATCATTTGAATAGGCCTGACAGAAACCATGCTCTACCTCTATCCTTTGGCAAATGACTTTACTGGAAGAACTGTCATGACTTGTAAAAGGTAAAAGTTGCCTCTGTGCTTAACTAATTAAGCATTATGCCATGAAGGCATATGGGAGAGTGGATTTATAGTTACACATTTTCTTGACCTCAGTGCTAGCTGGAGGTGAGTAGTCAGCTTAACGCCTCGGCCACTTTACCCCGTTGGAAAGAGCCCTCGGTACCCATTGGGTAGGAGGTTGGGTGGACCCCAGATCTGGTCTGGACGATGTGGAGAAGGGAAGATTCTTGACCCTACTGGGATTCGAACTCCGATTCCTTGGCTGTCCAGCCTGTAGCCAGTCACTATACCGACTATGCTATCTTGGCTCCCTGTCATGACTCCTAATGGCGTTAATATAATTTGCATCTGCTTGGCTTAAATATGTCTCTTACCTTGATGACATGTGTAATCCATTTCTTCTTTTATATTTTTGTTAAATTAGAAATCAGTAACAAGCAGAAACTAGTGAGCTGGGATAATCACTCAGTACAGTGCCCAGCTATGTCATGGACAAATAGGGCTTGATTTCTGGCAGATGCTTGGGGTTTCCCGTTTGTCACCACATCCAGAGAGGCTGTGGGACTCACCCAACCTCCTGTCCAGTGAGTACAATAGAGTCTTTCACCAGGATAAAGCAACTAGAGTATGAGGGTCACCTCACACCTCCATTTAATGCTGAAGTTAAATATTCTGTGAAGTTATACCTTCTCACACCTATGTGTCTTCATGGTGCTTAATTAAACACAGGGACATATTTGCTTTATATTATATAACTTTACTTACCTTTGCTTTACAGTCCTCTAAGAATCTTGCTCATTTTTACAACAGATACCCACTCTTCTCTCATTCAGCATCCATCATCTGGTTTCTTAACATACATTCTTTTCCAAGGGGAGATTGTTTTCCACCCTCCAATGTGGAAAGCGTATGGTGCCTTGAGTATGGTTCATATGCTTTGAACTTGGTAAAGGGGATGGGCCCTACCAGGATTACACCCCTGCTAGCTCTCCAGATGAACACTTTTGCTACCAACATAGCCAAGTACACACCTTGTCACAGTAGCTGATGCCCTTTTTAGGGGTTTCACTGAGGTACAGTGCAACAGATAACAGTTGTATTCATTAAAGGACCTTTCAGAATGGCCCATGATTCACTTGTTTGACAGTGGCACTAAGAAATGATTGATTATTCATATTCATTGCCAGTTGATACACGTGTGCTATCGATTAATGATGAGTAAAAAGATGGAATTCTTTATGAAGATTCTGCCCTTGGGACTTTGTGCTGTGTGAATGAGGGCAGTGCTGCCATTTTAGATGTACATGCTACGTGTGTCTTTATGGTCTAAGTGTGTATGTTCACATGTATATAGGTTTTGGTTCTGCTCACCCATGGAAGGAAGAGTGGATGCTTGTGCCGTGTTTGGATCAATAGGGACAGAAAGTATTGTAAAATGGTCCTTTTTCCCATTCTCTTTTGATTTGTGCTTTGTTGGCAGGTGATTTGTTGCTTTGGGTGACTTGGGTTTCATTTTTGGTGTAATGTACAAAGATGGAAAGTGCTGAACTACATAAAGTCTGGAGTCATTATGTGGCAGTTTCTCCATATCTGTAGTGCAGTTTTTATGCATTCAGCATCGTCATTTGAAGTACATGTGTCCCTATTTTCTTGTACCATTGAATTGTTTTCCTATCACATGGACAGTATGAAAATACGTGGTTCAATCCAAAAGTTCCCAAAATCTATTAATAAAAACTATTACGTCTTACCTGGATCTTATTCTGCACCATCACCTTCAAAGTAGTCCCCTTGGGAGCGCATACACCGATCCCAGCGTTTCTGCCACTTTTCAAATGCATCCTGGAAGTCTTTCTTTGTTAGGGTGTTTAGTACCATCTGCGTTTCCGCTTGAATTTCCTCAACTGTATCAAATCTCTGCCCCTTCAACTTGATTTTCATCTTGGGGAAGAGAAAGAAGTCAATGGAGCTAAGTCTGGCGAGTACGGTGGGTGGGGAACAACTGCCATCTTGTTTTAGCCAAAAATTCCTGGACAATGTAAGCCGTACGCGGTCGTGCGTTGTCATGGTGGAGTACCAGTCATTCGTGCGCCACTTCTCTGGACGTTTTCTCCCCATGTCCTCCCTCAAACGCCTTAGAACATTGCGATAGAACTCTATTGACTGATCAGGAGGGACAAACTCCTTATGAACAATCCCGTCAGTATCAAAAAACCAGATCAACATGGACTTAATGTTGCTCTTAACTTGTCAAGCTTTTCTTGGCCGAGGTGAAGAAGGGCTCTTCCATTGCGACAATTGCTGCTTGCTTTCAGGGTCGTAGCCATAAACCCAACTTTCGTCACCAGTGACAACCTTCGAAAGAAAGTTTGGATCCTCTTGAAGCTGTTGTTGAATTTCCATGCAGACTTCCAAGCAATGCTGCTTCTGTTCATTTTGCAGCAGTCGTGGCACAAACTTCGCCACAATCCTCCTCATGTTCAATTCCTCTGACAAAATTCGTTGACATGTACCATAACTTAGTCCAAAGGTGTTACAGAGGTCTCGGATGGTCAGTCTACGATCTTGCAGAATCAGATACCTAAGTTTGATTTGTTTCATTCTGGTCCGTCACACTAACAATTACAAATATAAATCACTCTGTCCAATGTGACCTGTAAGTTTTTTACTACATGAAAACTTAACACCCTTACATGTTTCGGTCTCTGTGGACCATCTTCAGAGGGCAAACATCACTACAAATAGGAAACCACCATCACATAAGTGTAGTAAAAAACTTACAGGTCACATTGGACGCAGTGATTTATATTTGTCAGATACCTAACTTTCGCGACATTTCCTGGTGTGGTGCCAGTTGACGGCCGGCCCGAACGGTCGTCATCATCAGTCGATGTTCGGCCATTTTTGAAACGCTTATACAAGTCGTAAGTTTGTGTCTGGCCTAAACTGTTGTAAACAAAAGCTTGCTTCAA